TCACCACCATCGTCATCATCATCATCACATACTTACACTCACCACTTACACGATCAATTGGAATCTCTAATTAGGAACACTCTAGAAACATCAGAGAATGGCAGTTGTTGTAAATGATTGTGGTGATGACGACAACGACGATGACGATGATGATGATGATGAAGTGGTTAATGATGATGATGATTATAAAGAAGAGGAGGTAAATGATAAAGGGAATGATGATGTTGACGATAAGTTTGGTGATGTCGGTTCATAATAAAAGTATATTTTTGAAGAAATAAAAAACACTAATGACATCTCGACTCGAGTTATTTGGGGTATAACGATTAAGAAAAATCTGAAAAGATTATTTGGCAGAATTTTCCATCATCTTCATCATTTTTATTTGAAGATTTTGAGTTAATAAGGATTAGTCTTATCATCATCATCATCATCGTCGTCGTCATCATCTTCCTCATCGTCGTCATCATCATCATCGTCGTCGTCATCATCTTCATCATCTTTTCTACCATTGCCACTTTCTCACTCACCACCATCGTCATCATCATTTTTTGTCAATGAAGGATAATAATAATAATAATAACAATGATAGTGATGACGTCATAGATGACGAAAGCATAAATGATGATGATGATGATGACGAGATAATTGCGTAATCAAGAAAAATTTTTCAATTGTGAAAGAATGCAATAAGTGAAATGGCTGAAGCATTAAGAAGATGATGATGATGATGACGATGGTGATGATGACGATGGTGATGATGATGACGATGGTGATGATGACGATGGTGATGATGACGATGGTGATGATGACGATGGTGATGATGTTAATGATGAGGATGCTGATGACGATGGTGATGATGAAGAAGACGACGACGACGATGATGAAAGTAACAATACATATCTCAATCGCTTAATCCTTTTAAAGATTTGGAATAAAAAAAAAAACATTGAAAATATGATTAAGACAGGTTTAATGACTTTTATTTTTTGTTTAAATCCATCCTCAAATATATCTGGAGGATTATTTTTCGTAATGTTTATCCATAAAAACGCATGAGAAAAAATTTCTTTAATTAAAATTTAAAACGATGAATAGGCGTCTTAAATAGCATTTTCGGCGATAACCCAATCAATAATAATCTTATTATTAATAATATAATTAGATTAATAATTAATTCATTGATAATTATGATTATAATATAAATGGTGATGATAATGATCATTCTAAACCTATTAATCTATCTTAGAACGTGAATGAATGAATTTATTTATTTATTCCTTTATTGATTTATAAGTTTATTTATCTTAAAATGGTTTTAATCTAATTAAATTAATGCAATTAAAACAACAATTGAGTTAATTAATCAATAGATAGCTAAATCATTAAAAAAATTATAAATTTTATTAAAAATTAAATAAAATTCTTTCTTCAGGTTCTTCTGCTTCTAAATTATCGTCACATGATGTGATAAGGAGATGTGATAGCATCGATACATTCATTTTGAACTTCAGCAGAGACCTTGACAAAATGATAAATGGTTATGATTATCCAGAAGCTATCTTTACTACTACTACTACTACTACTACTACTGCTGCCGTACT